CAGAGTCGTCCGGCGGTACCTCAAGCTCGCACTGAATCGGGTGCGGTCCCACCTGCACCGTTGCTGTCAAGGCGAGCTGAGCATGAGCATGCACGAGCCTCCTCGACCTCGAAGCGCAACCGCAGCGGTCGTCGTCGCACAGAGTCGTCACGCGCGTCGAACCTTTTTCTCCGCCCTTTGAGAGCGCCGTTTGGATTGCCGTGTAGAATGCCGGTCCCAAAGCACTGCGGTCTAACACTTCTTTGATTTTTCACTTGCCTCCACCTTGCGAGCGTTTGGTGGACCCTTGCGGACTCAGCGAAGGGCTTTCTTCCGCAACACCATCTCTGCACACCCATCCAGCACTCGTCACAAGCAACGGCAACCATGTCGACGGGCCTCGCATCGCTCGCAGGCTACGGGAGCGACTCTGACGAGGAGGAGACCACGCCGGTGCTCCCGCCTGCACCCGCCGCTTCATCCTCGCGCCTCACTTCGCTGCTTCCTCCACCAAAGTCGACGTCGCTCGCCGCCAAGCTTCCGGCGCCCTCCAGTGCAGCCGGCAACCCGAAATACAGTGGAAGTTCGCTGTCCTTGCCGCCGCCCTCCGCTTCTTCATCGACAGCGAAGCGCAAGGTTATCAAGGTTGGCTCGCTCGCTTCGCTCGACGACGGCGATGACGATGGCGAACCGGACATCGTTGCCTCGGGTGCCAAGAAGCCTCGACTTGGAATGGCCGCATCAGGTTCAGCTTCCTCCAAGCATTCGCTGTTTGGCATGCTGCCAGCTCCTAAGCGTATGGACGACGAGGTGCTCGCAGAGAGGAAGAAGGAAGCGCAACAAAGGAAGGCGGACAGGCTTGCGGAAGAGTCCGAGGCAGCGCCCATCGTTGCGGTGCCGATCCAGACGCAAGATGACTCTGTTCGAAGTCCGTCGCCAGGAGCAATGATGCCGCAGGTCGTAGAGGAGTCGACCCAGGATTCAGATTCCAAACCAAAAGGCAAGAGCAACGACGCTTTCCGAGCCATGCTTGGGCTCAAGCCGGCCGCCAAGCCGCCATCCACACAGCCTTCGCAAGAGCCAGCGCGGTCCAAACCTGTCACGGGCAATCAGCTGCCACCACCACGACCGAAGCAGCCCGGTACAGTGCCAGATCCTGGCGCGTCGGTTGCAAAGGTCGAGGCTGCGCCGCTCGACTTTTTTTCGCTCGAGGCCAAGCCCCCTGCAAAGTCGTCGGCGACGCAATTCGGAAACTCGTTCATGATCTCTGCCGCACCCAGCATCGATCAGCCGTCCGAGCCGGATGAACCCGCCGCACAAACCCCGCTAGACGAATATCCAGGGTGGCAGCTCGACACCGATGGGTCGTGGGTGCCCGTCACGCCCGAGGCACATGCCCAGCTGGCTGCGTACGAGCAGTCGCTTGCACCGCCGCCCACAGCCACGTCCAAGGGCGCAGCCAACCTCGACGGCACACGCGATCTGCTTGCTGCGGGCCTCACTCCTGACGACATTCGCGCATTCGACGCGTCAGCTGCTGCCAGGGATGCGTATTCCCGTGGCGGGGACGACGACGCGGACGCTGACAAGTACGCAGCAGCCGCAGAGTTCGCAGCGGGTAACCGAGATGCGATGGCACAGAGGAAGCCCGGCATGCTCAAGGGGCTCAAGAAGGGTCAGCTCAGCAGTCTTATCAGTCTGGCCGACGAGAACAGGAGCAAGGCCGAGGAGAAGTGGAAGAGAGGCAGAGATGCCAGGGCGAGAAGGGCGAATCAGTACGGGTTTTAGGTCGTTGTTCCAATGCAAAGCTGCGCTATCAAGCCACTGTGCAACGCTGTACGTGTGTTGCTCTGGAGTTCGAGGAGTGTAAGGAGTATAAGGAGTGAGAAGCTGTAGCGAGGGTGGGTCGTACGAACTCGCGGGGTGGTGGCTGATCTAACAATTTGGGCTTTTTTGGATGTTGCGTGCACAAGCCAGCGGCTCCTCGAAGCTTTGAGCTTGTCGTCCACTCGTTCGACTCTTGTTCATGACCCACATACTCACAGACGATTACTCTCTGCACTTGCGCGCGAAAGCCAGCCGATCTGGCCGATACCCATCCGCCTTCGCATACCTTATTGGTCGCATGTCACGATAAACGAACCTTCTAAATCAACTGCTACATCGTCGCAGGGCTAGAGGGTGGTTGTAGGTCGCACTGCGGCGCCGGCCAGCAGTCATGAACGCCTTCCCGCCAGAGCTGCTCCACCATCACTTTGCGTGTATGGTGGTTGCAGGTCTTGCGCCGCCTACAAAATCAGCCTCAGCACTGGCCGCGTCGAGTGCGCCGTCCGCGTCAGATGCTTCGCCGTCGTCGGGCCCAACAGCGTCGTCGCCCCCTGGACCAGCAATAGCCACTTCGGCGTCCTCGCATATTCCTGCGGACCATCCCACTGCAGCATTCCCCGAACTTACCAAGGCACTGCACGATATCCTTGCTTCGAGGGCACGCAACACCGTCTGGGACCCTTCACGCGGGCGCGCGGCGGTATTCCACACGGTCTTTGCCGACCACACGGTGCGGTTGCCGCCGCTCAAAACCAAGCCGTCTTCACGCCATGTCCCACCAATTGCGTCCATCACGGCTGGATCTTCTGGCTCACCGCCGTCCGAGTCGGCCTCGGCTGCGTTCGCTGCACTGCCGCCCCGCTCGCCGCTCTCGCCGCTGCACCCCAACTCGCCGCAGTTTCCGGACGGACTCATCGCGCCCGTATGGGTGCGCAAACATCGGGAACTCGTCCCGTCCGTATTCGTATCGCTCCACTGCCTTCCGCTGTCTACGGCACCATCGCCTCCAACGCCCGAAGAGCTCAGGAGCGCAGACGAAGATCTCATCAAGCTCATCTCGGAGCGCAGACGCAGCCTCGCCGAACGCGGCATCAAGCTCACCATCGTGCTGCTTACGCACAAGCACATGCTCGACGATGCGCAGCTTGAGGCGCGTCTCAGCTACATCCGGCGCAGCAGCGGCCTCGACTCGCGCGCCAGCCTCTTCGTCCTCACGCCCGTCAGCAGGCCCGAGCTGGGCGAGTTTGTATCCAGCCTGCACGGCGCACTCTTTGAGCCGGCCGCCGACTACTATCGTGAGCACGCGCGCAGGGTCAAGCGCAAACGCACGCGCTATCCGCCTCCGCCCTCGGTGCTACAGCCGATCGTGACTGCGCTCGGTACACTCGCGCCCGCCGCCGGGGCAGGCGCGAAGGCCGTGTCGATGGGCGATGTGGCGTGGCTCAGCCGCGAGGGGTGGATCGTGCGCAGCGAGTACAAGCTCGGCGTCTTTGCCGAGTTGGCGGGCGACATGCACGAGGCGGCGCTGCGCTATCGCGAGGCGTATGATCTGCTGTGTTGCTCGCCCACGTGCCTGTTGGGGAGTACGCTCATGCTTCCGCCGCGCACAAAGCGATGGGCAGAAGCCAAGGTGCTGGCAGATACGCTGTGCATGCGCATCTGCAAGCTCATGCTGTACGCCGACGACGGTGAGGGCGCAGCGGCGTACTTTCGACGTCACCTGGCGCGGTTCACCGATCTGAGCACAGGATGGGGGATTGGTGCCATGACGTTCGAGTACTGGTCGTGGCTGGGCAAGCAGTACCGCATGTTTGGCGAGCTCGTTGAGCATGCGACGAGGCAGGTGGCGGGTGCACCGCTGCCTGCGTTCCAGCTCCCGGCACATGCACCGCCGCTGCCGTCAAGGCTGCTGCATCCGGATGCGCTGCCTGCATTTGCAGACGGTAGGGGCGGCGTCAATCCCCCGCCGGGCATGCTGCTGCCGAATCAAAACGCAGTGGCGGTCGCAGTCACGCCGTACGCAACGCTCCAGGGCGCAGGCGCGTACTTCTATCTCGCGGCGCTGTGCACGCTCGAGCGCCGTGCGCGTTTTGTGCGGGCGGTGGCGAACGCAGGGTCGACCGAGGAGGAAGAGACGAGCCCGCTGGCGCACGAGCGAAAGGTGGACCATACCGCGCAGATCACCGAGACGCTCACCAAGGCGTACGATGCGTTTAAGCGCGCACGCCAGCACCGGGCCGCGCTGCTGGTGGCCGCGCGCATCGCCATCGCCTACCACGACGGCGCACAGCACACCATGGCGCTCAAGTTCCTCGAGCGCATCCTGCGCAGCTACACCAAGGACGACGTGCACGACGTGCGCGCCGCGCTTGTCGAAATCGCCGCAGATGCCGCTGTAAGTGCGGGTGATTCAACCGCTGCACTCAAGATGCTCATCGAGATGCTCGACCCAAGGCTGCCGATCGGCTACGAGAGGAGGAAGGCGGCAGTGCAGGCGCTCAAAACGCTCGTGCTGCAGAGCGACGCTGCGCAGAGCCCGGCAGGCGATGGGGAAGGCGACGACGAAGCGGACGTGGGCAAAGGGAACGTTGCGGTTGCGCCGGGCATGTGGAGTGTGGAGGCAGTGCTGCCTGTAGCCGAGGTGGATGTGGGCACGAGCATGGCGTTCCAGGTAGTGGTGCGCAACCTGGCGGCTTTCGATGTGGCAGAGGTGGTGGGGGTCGACAGCATCGCCGTGCATGTGCGCAGCGGCGACGACGCGCGCGAGACCGTGGTTCGTGCCAGATCCAGCGGCGGCTCTGCGCCCGCTGACAAGCCGGTCGTTGTGGACTTGGGCGCAATCGACGCAAGCGCCGACGCACACGCAGCGGAGACGCCGCTCAATGCAGCCCTGACTCCCCGCGGCACGATCGTGCTGCAAGGTACCATCAAGCCGGACGCATCCGGACCCGTTCGCATCGATCGCGTCACTCTCTGTGCGCACACTCTCACCACATCGCGCCGCGCGCCCCTCGAAGCTGAGCTTGCGCTCGGCGAAGAAGCCGGCGAGGCGGGTGGCGGGCTGTGCGAGGGCCGATGGATGCTGCCGTCAGGTCGGAGTGTAGTGGTGACGCAGCGCGCCGATACACGCGTGGCGCACGTGCGGCCACAGCGATTCGATGTGTCTCTCGGCGTGACGAGCACCGAGGTGGGGTATGTCGACGAGCGGATCGCCGTGCGCATTGCGGTGGGCAACAACGAGCGCATACCGCTGGTGGCATGGATCGATGCGACGCTCCAGCCGAGCTACGACGGTGCGCGCGATACGCTCTCGTGCGATGCGCCGCACGCTTCGGCGACGACGCAGGCGGTCAAGGCGATCGAGGTGGGCAGCGTGCCAGCTGGCGAGAGCAGCGAGGTGGTGGTGTGGCTAACGCCTGCCCAGGCGGCCGGCGTGCGTACGGTGGATGTGGCGTTGCGTGTGGCCCGGCAGCCGGTCGAGGGAGAGGTGGACGCGATTGAGGTGGCAGCGAGTGCGAGTGGCGTGGTGCCCGTCGTGGCGCTGTTCGACGCAAAGACATGGATCAGGGCGGCGAAGCGGGGCCAGAAGAAAGGGCTGCTCGAGTGGGGTACCGACGCCGAGGTGGCGGAAGAGCGGTTGGTGGGGTTGGATCTCGAGGTGGTGGGTGGAGCGGTTGAGGTGGTTGCAGTCGAGCTGGATGGCCAAGCTCAGGCTAGCGATGCTTTGGGAGAATGGACCGTAGGCGATCGATTCAGCTTTGCGCTTGCCTCCACCGCGGCTGCTGAGTGGCGCGTGCAATGGCGTCGATCAGGCACGCTCAACACGACGCTGATCCCCGTGGCCCCGGCAGCTGGCGAGGATTTGGCGACGGGGATTACCGTCACGCTGGTGTATGCACAGCGGCAGCGGGTGCACCGTGCATTCGATGTGGACCTCGTAGTCGACAACCACCACGGCACGCGCTCGTATGCGCTCGCACTCTCGCTCGACACCGACGCGAACTTCACCTCGGCCGCAAACAGACACCTCACTCTCCCGCACGTTCTACCTCAACAAACCGTCACCGTGCATCTAGCGCGGCTGGTTCCTCAGGCGATCGGGCGGCTTACGTTGCCCAATTTGACCATCGCTATTCTGGACCCAGCGAATCTGCAGGCGACGCTAGCGAGTCGTAACACCAACGCGCTCCCTACGGCGGTCGATGAATCTCGGGACGCCATCAACCTGGCCTACTCCACCGACAAGACCAGCTCGACACGCGTGGATCACATGCCGCGCGTTGTCGTCACACTTTAGATCGCTGACGATGAAAATTACAGCACGTGTAGGAGTGAGCGAAGCGAAGCTTTGCGTGGGACGCGCGCGGTGGTGGTGGTGGGAGGTTCGCTTTCGAGCGCGGGGTTGGCGATGCGTGTGGTGAGTTGGGCCGGACTCACGATGCGTGCAGTGCGCGACATGAACAGCCCACGCGATGGCAGAAGTTCCGGCAGGGATGGAGGAGAGGTGGACGAAGCGGCGGGCCGTTTGGGCTCGGTGGACGAGCGGACCAGCGCGTGTGTCTGCTGGTGCCGCACGACGCTGTTCGATCTCTCCCGACCCACCGAGGCGGGGGGACGGGGCAGAGGCTTTGACGGACTGGTGTGCGCGGTCGACGATACACGTCGAGCTGTGCTTGCAGCTTGCTCCTGCAGCTGTCCATACGACTTGCGGTGTGCACAGCGACGGTCGCTGTTCTCGACAGGCGGTCTGGGAGAGGTGCCACCCAAGGTACCCGCCGGCGACTGCTGGACATCTGCTCTGGTCGTGCGCTGGAGCTTGGTGGCGCGGAACCAGCTGACCATTGCAGCCGCCTCACCAGCGTGCGCAGCCGCTTTGCGCACCGACGCCACGACGAGCGCATCGATCTTGCTGCCTCTTCCGTCGAGGTGGCGTATGAGCTCGGCCGTGAGCTCCCTTGCGCCTGCACGCACACTGGCGAGCTGCGCCTCGAACGTCGCTGTCAGAATAGCAAGGCTCTCGGTCGAGCACTCGTCATCGCTCTGCTGCGGCGACACGGGCGGCGTGAGCGAGACTGGCGGAGTGAGGATCGCAGTGTAGGCGCTAAGGTCACCGAGGATAGACGCCGTGTCGTGTGGTTGATCGGGCGTGTCTACTCGAGCACTTTGGCCGTGCATGAAGAGTCGGATCGCTTCCCAGTTGGGTGCTCCGTCAGCGTCGGTGACGTCGAGCGATGCGCGCTGCGACCCGACCAGTGTACCGTCCACAGATGCGGCGGAGTGGGATCCCGGCGTGGGGAAGTCGCCCAGGATGTGGAAGAGCTCGTCCGACGCGAGCTTTCGATCGGTCTGCATCTTTGCTTTGTCTTGGAGCAGAGGTACTAGTCGTCCCGTAGAGTCAGCACAAGGTGCGGAGGACTTATATGGAGACAAGGCTTCTCCGCATCGGATTCGACCATCTGCACAGGCCACATCGGACAGTGCCTGACTTCAAGCAGAAAGCGCTGTTGCGCAAGTGGTTCCTGCCCCTCATCTATGCAAAGTGCCTGCAGAACAGCGCGCAGGAACACGCAGGCTCGAGCGCCGATGACATGACAGGCTCCCGCGAGCGAGCGCACGCAAGATCATGGATTTGACACAGGTGTCAGATAGACAATC